GGATAAAAGTATATATTTTTATCCATTAATAAAAGTATATACTTTATATATATATAAAGGGGTAGATAGTTAGATGTACTTGTATAAGCATATATTACCTCTGGAATGAGTGTAAAGAAACTGGTAACAGTTGTCCTGGTTTGAGAGTGAGAGAAAGACTTATATTGGATGGATTAAAATTACTCATATGCATATCTTAACTATTTAGTGACATGAAAATTCAAATAATAACAGCATAGGTAGAAATGATAACTATGGGTGAAGTCAGAGCAAATTCTCCACCTTGAGGGAAGTGGCAGGTAAGCTGATCTTCACCCTGGTTCGATTTGAGAAAAGACCTGAGGATGGCGGTACAAGCAGAGGGTGCTTTGTGATTAAAGGGGCAGGAGTATTTATGGGAGATGGACCCTGAAGGACACTTGGGGCAAGGCCAGGGAGAGCTGTGTCCTCCTCTGAGAGCTTGTAGAGGCCATGGAATGGATGGTTCCTGGGTGCACTTACCTGGTACTCATTTTGCAGCACCGAGATGTGCAGTTCAAATGGTTGGCCATCCACAAAGGGCATTATGGAGGATGCCACCTCACAGTTCCAGCTCCCATGCCACCTCACAGTTCCAGCTCCCGTTGTTTATCTTCACAGATATGCCAAAATACACTTGGAAATGGAAGGCAGCGTCTGAGTTCTCATCAGTCCCAGTGTGGAAATCCACCTGCATTTCTGGGTTCTTGCTGATGGGCAAGCACATAGCATGTTGAATAGGCCTCTTCTTGTGGGGGTACCCACATTTGACATACACATACACATTCTTTCCCGATTCCTCCCTGGTAGAAGGAAGGCCTTCCTGGGGGATACTGTAATCCTTGTTCCTGTGGGCCTCCTTCAGCTTATCCTGTCCAGGATAGCAGGATGCCGTGTTCCTTGGCCCAAGATTCAAATTGAGTGGCAGTCATTGGCCTGGGCCTACTGGTTCTTTATCTGCTGGAAGTCCTATGCCCCTTGGTGAAGAGCCAAAGCCCTGACCCCTTTTCCCAGACCCCAAGACCTGCCAGCAGTTCTGCAACTGCAGGCATAATGCCTGGTACTGCAGGGGTCTCCAGGACCTGCATCTGCATTGTGCTACCATTATGCTATTTACACGTTTTAACATCACTCATACATGAAGTGACCTGCCCCCCCCATACTCTAATATTCTCACTTCTTCATCTCCCCACCCATGAGCCATAGAGTACCCACCTGAAAGATATGGCAGGTTTCCCTCTGATTGTCACTGAAGAACCAATAGACAAGGACACATGCCATGTGTACAGGACCTGCCATGGGGAGACAAGAGTGGATGAGGGGCAAGGCCAGGTGTGGGCTCCCCTCCTACAGCGGTTCCCAGGGGTGCAGCAGGTTACGCATCAAAGAACAAACTCTGAGGGCCCGAATCTCCCCACTTCACGAGAGTCAGGTCCCTGTGTCCTTGAAGAGATGAGAGGGTCATAGTTAAGAGCAAGGGGTTCAAGAGCCAGGCTGTCTGGATTCGAATCCTGATTCTGCCCCTTACGAGCAGTGAGATCTTAGATCCATTACTTGAACTCTCCCTGCCTCAGTTTGCTTGGTACAAGGAGGATTATCAGAAATTCCCACTTCATAGGGTGTTCTCAGGAATAGATGGGCAAAACCTTTAGCCTAATCACTGGCACATGCAGGGTCCACACAGGGGTGACCTGTCAGAAGGGGGAGGACCCTTTCAGGAATACTGCCTGCAATTATTTTCTGCTGTCTGAAACTCTGAAGACAAGACTTGAGGATATAAAAATATGAAAGTGTAAAAATTCACTCCAGTGAAAAACATTTGTTTAAAGAGAGAGGGACGTAATAATGGAAAAGGAAACTCCTGTGTGTGGGATGTAGATGTATGTGCATCAGAATTATCAAGGGGAATGCATGTCCTTTCAAGAATGTATACAATATTGTTGAGAACGCAGTCAGTACTTGGACAAAGGGTGTGGGACAGGAAAGTAATTGGGGAGAATTTACAAGTTGTTGACTGAAATCTGCTGTAAACTGTCTGGACTGAGGCTGAATTTGTTCCTTCCAGCTTCAGGTGATTTGATTCTCTGAAACCAAGTCTCCTAACAGCCTTCCCCTGGGGCCCAGGATCTGCTCACCCTCCTCCTGTGAGGCAATGGGAAGGGCTGACTTGGGGAGGATACCTGAGGTGGAGCGAGTGGTCACTGTGTGTGCACCCAGACTGGAGATGCAGCGCCCTACAGTCTGAGGTCACCTTCTCTCACTCTTCTTGAGAAGAGGCATCTAAAGAATCACTCCTTCTGCTCTCATTAATGCTCAGAGATGAGTTCTGGGTAACTCACAGGCTCAAGGCCACCACTTTTGCCAACCAGGATCCACATTGATACACATGGGAAGACCCACAGTCATTTAAACAGTCACTGCTGTGTAGGGGAGAACCCTCACATGCAGACAAATCCACACACATATTCACCGATCAACACCCAGTCACAAATTCTCACACACACACACATTCACATATAGTCACACAAAGACATGCAGTTCATCATATCACACATACCTCCCTACATTCTTACTCACTGTAACATGCACTGGTGTGCTATAGTCACACACACAGAGCTATGAAGACAAATGCACAGCCTCACCTCCTTGCACTTATGCACACACTCCCTCATCCCCTCATCTGACTAAAGATTCTAGTGCCTTCTGCTAGAAGGCTATGTCTTCAGGCTTCTTGTTTGTTACTATTCCCAAAGTAAGAAACAAATTAATAGCTATAAGAGGAGACCTTGAGACCATAAGGTTGCAACTGGCAGCAGACACTGCTTTGAGAACAACTGGTGTCATCCTGAGTCTGACACAGTTCAGGAAATTCAGGTTCTCAGCAAAACAGGAATGAGTCTAAAATCACATCCACAATGGCCGTCCAGCTCCATCTTGGATGCCTGAACCACAGTCACTCCATTTTGGCTTTTAAATGCATTTTCGTGTTCAATGGCCAAAGCAGATGTACAGTGGATGTTCAGTAGGCCACAAAACAGTCCACTCTGGCCAGCATACAGTTCAAGTTATATCATGTAAAAGCCAGAATGACTTTGCCATCCCTCAGTATGTGAAAAGTTCCTCTATCATTTTCCCTTTTGTCTGCAAATCTTTTGATAGAGCAAAATATTTGTCCCTCAATGCCAGGTTGGTTGCTGCTGGCCCTGGGTCCACCATGTCCTTTGGTGCTAGGCCTCCTTTTTCTTCATATATATATTTGCCTAGTTATCCACATTGGGGGAAAACTAATCAGACATAGTGAACAAGCTCAGAGATATGCTAAGGGGGAAACATTTCATAGGCTATTCATTTTATAAATTATACTGAACTGTTGCACAAACATTGTACATGTGCTTTTAACAGCAGACCTAAAGCAAGCAGTGATACGTGTCATGAGTAGTTATAGTCTTTGACAACTTCCCCAGAGAATTTTCTTTCCATCTTAAACATTAGGGGCATAGTATGGCTAGAGGTAAAGCAATAACTTTCAGTGTTGATAGGGAGCCAAACGTTTGGTAAACAGTTCAGTTAAATTAGTAGAATGGCTCTTAAAGGCTGGGTCCAGATTTTTGGGTCAGCTGCCTACCACTGCTGTTGTCTTTTTCTCGTCCTGGTGTGGGTGTAATTTGGGGTCAGCAGTCCTTTCTGTAGACCAGTCCACCGCAGAGGCTCTTCTTACATGGGAAATACGAATTCAGGAGTCAGTTCCCTTCAGTTTCGCTGTGTGTGAGCTACTTAAGAATACTTGGCATGGGTCCTTTTATCTAGGTTGGCGACAGTCCTTTAAGTGATACCTTTTCCAGGAATTCCCTGGCGGTCCAGTGGTTAGGACTCCGTGCTTCCACTGCTGGGGTCACGGGTTTGATCTCTAGTTGGGAAACTAAGACCCTGAATGCCACATGGTGTGGCCAAAAAAGGAAAAAAAGTCATAAATGATGCCTTTTCCAGTACGCATAATGTGGTTGCAGGTCATGAGGCATCTGATTTTTTTTTTTTTGGCGGTACGCGGGCCTCTCCCTCTTCTGGCATCTCCCGTTGTGGAGCACAGGCTCTGGACGCGCAGGCTCAGAGGCCATGGCTCACGGGCCTAGCCGCTCCGCGGCATGTGGGATCTTCCCGGACCGGGGCATGAACCCGTGTCCCCTGCATCGGCAGGCGGACTCTCAACCACTG